TTGGCTGCCGTGGTTTCAACTGGGTTCTCAGGGGTAGTGAGTTTGTGGGCTCAGCCTGGTCATCAATGACTGCACAACATACAACAACAAAATTAGGTTCTGCACTCAGTTTGACCACATTCCAGCTCTGAGAATGAAATATTTGTTTGACTGTCACGTGGACGTGGACAATATTACTCTCATATGAGAGAGCGGGTGGAAAAGTGCTGGCTTCTACTGTGTGTGGACCAGAGATCACTTGACGAGGTGATCTCAGAGGTAGCTGTCATATCCGCTTTCGTGGGCGATGCTCTGACACAGAGGGTTGCTTTGCGAGACATCCGAATGGATACTTTGTCCCGTGACCCGACACCAATGTTGCATTTGGGATAAAATTTGGGCTAAATTACCAATACTGGCCTAGACGGACAGTTGCATCCCGAGCCGGCGAGGGATGGTAACGGAATGGAGAGGTCTCATTTCAGTAGTGGATAGTTCACGGTTGTGATGATGATGATGAAATCGATGAAAATAAAATGCTTTACTTGCAGGTTTTGAGGGTACTACCTCGCAAAAGTGATGACCGATGCCGGCGTGCCCTCGGCTCGATGAATAACGCGATCGACGCACAGGGACGGGACGGCAGCATCTGAGTGAGAAACTAAATCTCGACGCTAAGTCAATTTTCACTTTTATTGCCCCTCGCAATCTCAACAGCGTCTGGGCGGCCCGCGTAACCGCTCGCGGCGGTGCCGCCTGCCGCTCGCCTAAAGACCAGCGCTCGTTCGGCGCAATTTCTACTCCCGCCCCCGCCAGCAGCAGCCCCCCCCCCCCGCGTTTCTGTGGTTTGATCGTCGTGATTGGAGCCGACGGCAGCGAGGAAGGCGATGGTGGGGAGGTGGGGGGGCGGTTCGGCCAGCTGGGCCACGGTCGCCTCGTGACCTCGTGACCTCTCAGCGACAGTCGCTCGCTCCTCCTGTCCCTCCACACTCCCGGCCACTGCCCACCGCCCTCATGGGGGCCTCGGCGCACCGGGTGTCCCGACGTGGAGGGGTTCCTTTAGGGTGCGGAGATCTCGACTCGAGCAGTCGAGATCTCGGTCAGAGGCGACCCGGGCCACGCGCGATAGAGCGGCGGCCCAAATAATATAAACGCATGTGTAGGACAAGAAGACCCGGAGGAAAATAATCCGCACGACCACAGGGAGAGAGAATGCGCTAACCCCAAATATACAGCAGCAGGCATCGTCAGGGTCGGGGTCGAACTCACGACCTCCTGCGTACCAGGCGAGGGAGACAACATCTCCTCAGCACCAGGGGCCCAGCCTCGCTGGGTTGTCCGTGCAGTCAGGAGAAGGTAGGGATGGCTACTCCAGGTCAGGGTGGGACGCAAGAGGAAGAAAGGAGGGTAGGATCTCAGATAAAAGCACACTCTGCTGCGTGTCGACCTCGCCAAGTTTGGCATTCCCGCAGCGAACTGGCGGCAGCTTGCCCACAACCATCCATCGCGGAGACAGGGCAGCACGTACAGGAGTGGCGATCAGGGAGGGACAACTCTATACACGATTTAAGTTAAACTATTTTTTTATTTTACAAGGTCAGGCCCACTGAGCCATATAGCTCTTTTTCGGAAGCGACCTGGCCACGTAAGATAGCTCAACAAAGTGGCTTATCATGTGGAAATTTAGAGTAGTGAAATGGCTCTAAACGCGCGTTTCCAAATGTGGAGGGAAAAAACCCGGAGGACCCAGAGAAAATCCACGCGACCACGGGGAGAGAGACACGCAAACTCCAAACATACAGGCGTCAGGGTTGAACCCACGATATCCTGCATACCCGGCGAGGTAGTTGACATCTCGCCACCGTGGCACCCACGCATTGGCCTCCTGGCTCAGGGCTGGCAGGTGTCTGAGTCAGGCTCAGGAGGCAGCGGCCGGCATCGCCTGACAGGTCCCCTGTGCAGCAGCACGAAGCAGCACGAGTCTGTCCCGTGACCTTCTGCCAGCCGGTGTTCGACACTTCACGTGGCCTTAAAGTGCATATGGCCTGGCACAGGCGCCGTGGTGACGTCACCACCACTTAGTGGTGAATGACGGTTGTAGTGTACACGTGTGTGTGTGTACACGTGTGTGTGTGTGTGGACACGTGTGTGTGTGTGTACACGGGCGGTCAATTGTAGGTGGCTGGCGGAGTTCCGGAGTGGTAACCTTTGTTTTCACACCAACCACGTGGCTCATGGAGGCCTGATGCAGGCCTGCTCAGCGCGTTGTACAGATATTAAAATTAAACCCTCGATCTGAAGCCCCACATCTCTTCATTTCGAACGCACAACGCCGGTGAATCCATTCAGAAATCTCGCAGAGCAGTGCGATCCGTGGATCAGAGATTTATGATGTCCACAGGACCCTTCTAAAAATAAATCCTCCGAGTGGCCGCTTTGCCCTTCACGCACTCTGCCATGGAATCGTCGCATGACAGGAGACGAGGCAACAACATTTCGTTGGCAGAGATGGGGATTTAAAACATATCAGGCGAAATTCCAAATTTTACGATGTTTTTTTTTTTGTGCGCGCAGTCACCGGTGACATGGATTCAAACTCCGCATATCTCAGCGGTGGCAGCCGTATGAAAGGTCTGACCTCTCAGCCACCAATGAACACAAAGGAACTTTACGCAAGGCTCGCCCCACTTGTTCCACGACTTTGACTCGGACACTTTCTGTACTTTTTCAAATTTCGGACATTAATTATACATGGCCCGAGAGAATTAATGGTCTAGTGCACCCCACATGAATCTGTCTGCCTCTTTCCCCTCGCCTCCAAATCAGCCCTGGCTTTGCCTCCAGTTCCCACAATAACTCAACTCCTCTCCCTCCCCCACAGTGGAACTAAAGTCTGGCTCACGTCAGTCCATGATCATTTACAACAAAAGGCGCGAGCTTTCACCTTCACGAAGGTGAAGCGCGATTCAGGGATTCAATTCACACATGTTGTTGGTTTCTTTTGCGTAGCCACTGATAATGACGTCACCGTGATGTCATCGCGACCAGGGCTATCGAAACCAACGCACTGCGCCTTCACTTCCTTCCATCTGCCAGATCCCGTAAACCGCTGTGAGGTCGACGCTTCCAGGACCGCTCTTGCTCTCTCCCACCTTCAAAAAAGAAAATAACCCAAAATAAACGAATTACGAGTCATAACATTGGTCGAGAAAGACTGCGAATGAAATTAATACTTCAGCCATTTAGAGCGTCCTGTCCCAGGGAAGTGTCCAAATCCTCACTCTGCCAGAGAAGTCTGACACCCAAAATCAAACCCAGAACCTCATCAGCGGCAGACCAGTGCCCTGACCTCCGAGCCAACCGGTCACCCCAATTACAAGCGGGGTTGCTTTGTTACAGAAGTGATATTGAATCAGCATCGAGCCTGTGCACGTGTCACCGCGTGATTAGAAGCCGACTCACACCAACGATGACGAGCCCAGCACCCACACCACGCTAATAGTGGGAGACAGACCACGTGCTACATCGCGGTGCTACGCCACCGTCGGAGTTAAAGGCCACGTGGCCTAATGAGCGAGCGTGCGAGGCCTGCCCACAAGACTGTGGCGGTACCCAGTTACAACTGCCGGGTGGACAGAGGTGGTTTTTGGGGGGATTCAAGGACCTTGCCCCATTGTTTCAACTGCCTCGCTGGGAGGTCAATCCGGCGAACTCTGGACTGCAAGTCCAGTGTGCTGTTCACCATTATACCTTGGCGGTTTACCAATCTGGATATAAATTAAGAGTCAAAAACCCCATATTCTTCGGTTTTTTCGGTAAAGTCACGTAGGTAACAAAAAAATTTAAATTAATAAAAGTTAAATAAAAATAAAAGTAAAATCACGACGTTTCGGAGGCAACACAAGCTTCCGTCTTCAGGTGGAACTGTCACAGCACGATTGCTGTATCAAGTTGATCAAGTTGATCAGGTGTAACCGTCACAGCACGATAGCAGTATCAAGTTGATCAAGTAATACAGCAATCGTGCTGTGACGGTTCCACCTGAAGACGGAAGCTTGTGTTGCCTCCGAAACGTCGTGATTTTTTATTTTATTTATATTTTACTTTTATTAATTTAATTTTTATACCTACGCGACTTTACCGAAAAAACCCGAAGAATATGAATCCTTGCAGTCACGAAAGCTTCAAATCTAGAGTCAAAACCTCGTTCACCGCGTCTTCGCGCGCACCGCTCCATAGAGGACCGCAGAGCTTGGGGGGGGGGGGAGGGGGGCGACTTGCCGCCGGCTCCTCGGCGCGTGGCCGCCGCTGCCGCCCTCCGGCTCGTCTCTGCGACTCCTACTCCTCCTCCTGGCGCCTCCTCCTGGTTCTCCCCCCCCTCTCTCTCCGCCCGAGCGAGCCGGCACTGCGCAGTGTGTCTATGACGTCACTCGCTTCGTGCAATCTCGGCGTCCGCCTGTCACATTCCTGGTTCGGGAGAGCTCGATTGACCCATCAATTTCCACCGAGTCAAATTTCCACTGGGATCCAAAAAATGAAATAAAGAGGACGCGCCAGAGGAGATTGGATTGCTTTTTGGGGTGGGGTGGGTGGGGGGAACCCGAACTTGGAAATATAAAGCAAAGGCACCAATGTGTCTCGAAAAGGGAGATTCTCATCAGCGTGCACCGTACCCGCTACGCCGCGCGGCACAGACTCGCCGGACGACGGCCAAGAAAACGGATCGAGAGCTGAGAAGTGTGCAAAGAAGCGTGGAGCGATGGGCCAACTGTAGAGACTCAAGACTTTGCTTCAGCGGGTGATGCCCCTTTGGGCTAAAGCAGCCCTGCGGTACAAGGACGGCCACGGGCAGAGACCGCCGGCAGTGGCGGCAGTTCCAGGGGCATTGCAGGGGCGGGAATGAGACAACGCAGAGACGTCGTAATGACCGTTAAGAAGAGTCAGAGGGCTTTCACTTAGAGGGGATGATGTCTCGCAGTTAACATCTCGGTGGCGTTGGGAGATGTCGTGTTAGCGAGCACCTATGAAGGCCGGCACGACACACGATGGGGTGGGTGACCAAAACCACGCCCGGCCGCCTTTGTCTCTCCAGTGGCGATGTTTTACACACCGCGGCTGAGTCGACTTAATCGTCACTAGTGTTGGTCGCCGGGTTTGTAGCGCAGCGTAGCGCTCACCGCGACGCTACCGCTCCCCCTGTACACATGAACACACACACACACACACCTGTTGTCCTGCACGTGTTTGGTCAAGCCACCGGGTGGCTCAGCGGCAGTGCGAGCGGTTCATCACAGGAAAGTCTCCAGTTCAAGCTCTGGTTGGGAGTTGACTCAGCCCATCATCCCTGCAGAGTTGATAAAATAAGCACCACTTTGTGAGGAGGTCAACAGTGATTGTTCTATGGATTATTTCGCCCCTGCCATATGAATGTGGAATTTCCACTGGCTCTGCAGGGGTGTAATCAGGAGATGAGCACCAATGCATCAATGCTCATTTGAGCAGGAAATCACTTTGGTTTTTTTTTTAACATTGTAGCCCATATTCGTCGGGTCTTTCGGTAAAGCCACGTAGATAGAAAAATAACAAAATGATCACGACGTTTCGATCGCAACACAAGCAATCGTCTTCAGCTTGGTTGAGTAAAAAGGCTCCCAGTCACGAGATTCTGAGTTCAAATCTGACTCAGGGTTATCATAAATCATAATATACACAACTATAATCATCGTCATCATCATGCCTTCAGTATCCCTAATGCTGTACAAGCACCACGTTCTGAGACCATGTGATGCAGGAATTGTTTTTCTTCTCACGTACAGACTGGCCTTGTCCCTGCCATATGAACATGGAATTTCTACCACCACCTCACTACCATAAGCGGAGATGAGTGATATAACAAAACGCTTTGACCTTTTTTAACACATTTACAAAAACGCAAGCACGCACGCACACACACACGCACACACGTACGCACACTGCGCTGCACGCAAATCAAAATCTGTGGCCATGGCATCACCCGGAGTCAAGAACGCCAGACATTCATCATCAATAAAACGGCCTGCAAGGAGCAACCTTAAGGGGTGACGTTTCAGGCAATGGCCCATCTTCACATGACATAGATCAACAACACAGAGTGTCACAACAAATGTGCTTCATCACGTGTTAAAATAGCCAAAACGTTGCCTACTGCAGTACATTTATTTATTTTCCCCCTTTATTGGCGGTGTTATTGACGAACGTGTTGAAATTATTTTGTGCTTACACATCAAGAAATCATGATCTGCGGTCAGCATGTGTGTGCGTGTGTGCGTGTTTGCGTGTTACGTGCGTGCACGCGCGCGCGCGTGTGTGTGTGTGTGTGTAGCAGATGTAAAGTATTCATTTGGAGAGGATTTGGGTTTGTGCAAAAATACACCTCGACATTCGCCAGGTGCCGCTCACAGATTAGGGACTTATCCCACGCAGATAGAGAGAGGGAGAGAGACACACACACACATGGCACTCACGCACACACGGCACTCACACACACAGACACGCACACAGACACAACAACAACAACCGCCATTCGCCACTAAGTGGCGGTGACGTCACCACGATGCTTGTGCCAGGCCAAGTGCACCTTGAGGCCACGTGAAGTGTCGAAAGCCCGCTGGCAGGAGGTCACGGGGCAGACCCAGCAGGTGCCACGGGTCGACTGACCGAGATGACCGAGATGACTGGCTGATGCACCACCTGTGCCCCCTACTGTGCCAACTTGCTGTGCTTTAGCCACCCGGCGCTCCGCTCGTTGTTGTGAGCATCGCTCCTCCGCCCTCCGTTGTTGTTGGAGGGCGACTGCCTCCAACTGCCCAGTAGCGTCCTTCACGAGCCTCCTCCACTGAGGCCGATCTTGACACCGCTGGTACCAGTCATCGGCAAGTCCACTCAGCTCCACGTCCTCCTGTACCACATCACTCCATCTCTTCTCCAGCCCGTGCCGCGCCCGTCTAGCCCCCTCGATCCGGCCAAACAAAAGCTGTTTAGGCATGCGGTGGCTGGGCATGCGGGCTACATGACCCAGCCAACGCAGCCTTGCCTGCCGGAGGAGCTCACTGATGGGACTTTGCCCAGATCTTTCAAGGATTTGTGAGCTCCTCACACAATCCAGCCTGGTTAAACCCAGGATGGATCGTAGGCAGGCCAGCCTAAATGTTTCCAACCGGCGAAGATGCTCCACCAGGGGGGTCCACGTCTCGCAAGCGTAGAGAAGGGAGGGAATGACCGTGGCCGAGAAGACCTGAAGCTTCGTGCGGAGCGACAGACCAGGTAGCTTCCACACAGCGTTACGCAACCGATGAAAAGATATTGCCGCTCGACTGATTCGGAGTGAGACCTCTGCTGTTAAACTGGAGCAGGTCATAAGCACACTGCCCAGGTATGGGAAACTCTCCACTATCTCCACAACATCCCCATCACCGATTGGGAGTTGTGGGAGTGGAGTGTCCGATGGTACAAAATACCCAGGCAGGTGCTTCGTTTTGGTGGGGCTGATGGTAACGCCCCACCTCTTAGTGGCACTCTCCAGTCTCAGCAGCAGCGTCTCCAACTCTGAATGAGCAGCTATTACCAAATCATCGGCATACATAACGTGGTTGACCAATAGGGAGCCATCCCTTGATCACACCCGGGCATTAATCAGCCTCCCATTATATCTGTACCAAATGGACATTCCCCCGGTACAGCTATTGAAGGCTTTACGAACTACGTGGTCAAAATAGATGTTACATAATGTGGGAGCCAGAGGACATCCCTGTCGCAACCCAAGGTGTACAGGGAATGGCTCTGACTCCCGGCCACGTAGTTTTACCCGGGCCCTCTCACCATCATGACACACACACAGACACACACATACACACACACATACAGACACACACAGACACACACACAGACACACACAGACACAAAGACAGACACACACAGACACACACACAGACACACACACAGACACACACACACACCTGCGAGCTCCGCGCATCATTGATCGCGAGCCTGCCTTGCCATACCCTGCAGCAGGGGGCCGGGGGGGAAGGAAGCGGGGGGGCCTGTGGGTGGAGGGGTGGTGGTGGTGGGGGGGGGTGGAGGGGTGGTGGTGGTGGTGGAGGGGGTGGTGGTGGGGGGGGTGGTGAGGGGGGTGGTGGTGGTGGTGGTGGGGGGGGTGGTGGGGTGGTGGTGGGTGGTGGTGGGGGGGCCTGTGGGTGGGGGGCTGGTGGTGGTGGTGGGGGGGTGGGGGTGGAGGGGTGGTGGTGGTGGTGGGGGGGGTGGTGGTGGGGGGGGTGGTGAGGGGGGTGGTGGTGGTGGTGGTGGGGGGGGTGGTGGGGTGGTGGTGGGTGGTGGTGGGGGGGCCTGTGGGTGGGGGGCTGGTGGTGGTGGTGGGGGGGTGGGGGTGGAGGGGTGGTGGTGGTGGTGGGGGGGGGTGGTGGTGGGGGGGGTGGTGAGGGGGGTGGTGGTGGTGGTGGTGGAGGGGGTGGTGGTGGGTGGTGGTGGGGGGGCCTGTGGGTGGGGGGCTGGTGGTGGTGGTGGGGGGGGTGGTGAGGGGGGTGGTGGTGGTGGTGGTGGGGGGGGTGTTGGGGTGGTGGTGGGTGGTGGTGGGGGGGCCTGTGGGTGGGGGGCTGGTGGTGGTGGTGGGGGGGTGGGGGTGGAGGGGTGGTGGTGGTGGGTGGTGGTGGTGGGGGGGGGGTGGTGGTGGAGGGGGTGGTGGGGGGGTGGTGGTGGTGGGGTGGTGGTGGGTGGTGGTGGGGGGGCCTGTGGGTGGGGCCGGGGTGGTGGGGGGGTGGTGGGGGGGTGGGGGGGTGGTGGGGGGGTGGTGGTGGGGGTGGGGGTGGTGGTGGGGGGGTGTGGGTGGGGGTGGTGGGGGGTGGTGACAGTGACGGCCCCTGGAGCGAAGTGGAGGGGAGTGGAGACGGCGCCCGCTGGGCCCAGACGGCGCCGTTGAGACGGAGAGAGCCGTGGGGCCGACATCGTTGTTGTTGTTATTGTTGTTATTATAGTTATTATTGATATTATCATTATTATTCTAGTTATTATTGTTGTTGATAATCACGCCGCTCGTGTACCCAAGAAAAGGCTCGCAGAGTCTCAAGACTCTTCTTCTTCTTCTCAGGAGGGCCCTGCCACGTTTGTTTGTCATTTACAAAAAAAGCCACCACTTCCATCATCGTTACCGTCATCATCAGGAGTATAAATATCACCATGAATTAACCGCTACCATCATCATCTTCAGTAGCAGAAAGCAATGTCAGCACCAACAAACCACCTCATGTCTACCATCATCAGTAGCAGTAGCAACAACAGCATCGTTACCACCATCAATCCACCACTACCATCAGCAGCAGCAATATTTATCCTCACGACCATCCATCATTATCATCAAAAGTATCATCACCACGATGATGTTTAGCAGCAGCATTATCAACATCGCGACCATCACCACGATCATCAACAGCACCACCACCATCGTCATCCGTTGGAGCAACAGGATCATCATTGTGGTCATCAGCAGTAGCAACGATCATTTTCAGGAGCGGCGACACCACCTATCCACCACTGCCATCAGCAGCAGAATATCATCAGCAGCGGCAGAATATCAGCAGCAGCAGCAGAATATCATCATCAGCAGCAGAATATAATCATCAGCAGCACCAACAACAATCGCACACAACGCTGATCCTAGTGACCACAAAAGCGGCCTCGCACCTTCTGCTGAACCTCCGGGCCCTTTAAAGACCCCACGGCGTGAGCGGAAGGGAGAAGAGGCCTCTGGGTGCAGACGTCGCGGTGCAAATTTGGAAAATTTAGAAGAAGAAAAAAAATTAGCTGCAAATTACTTGATTTGTATCAAGCGCAGGAGACAACGTCGCCCCATACTGTGACACTCCTGTAGGCTGTGTCTGTGAAATGTGCGTGACATAGCCCTGCTCTGCAAGAGTGCCGAGAACACCAACTGGACTGAATTGCTATTATTTCGTGTCTGTTATGTAATGTGTGTGGATTGTATTTTTACAATGTGCAATGTACGTGCAGAGGTGATGATGATGATGATGATGGCCATAATGGAGGGATACTCTGTCGTGATGAAAGCATGCT